CTGCTCCCATGCTTGTAGTTTGTCTCTTCAGGGGATCTTCTCGAATCTTTTTGCAGTTTACTCATATATATATATATATATATATATATATATATATATATATATATATATATATATATATATATATATATACCTTGTTCTGCAGGTAAAAACTGGGTGTGGCTGGTTATTCCAACAGGATAAAACCGCGAAATCAGCAGCGTTTCATCATCATATTCCGGCTCCATAATCCTATCCTACGAAATGTGTATGACTAGGATTGATTAAATAGTAATATATATAAATATATGTATGTATGTATATATATATATCCAATAATGTTGGAGTTTGAAAGGATTAAGGAAGAGAGTTGATATTTCACAGGTTAGGTAATTAGCAGGATTAAGATATATGGACACACTTTATTTATAAAGGTGGTTGGTTTGTAAAGGGTCCTGATCTTGTCCGAATTTACAAGAATGCCACTGTTTATACAATTTGGAGAGAGAGAGAGAGAGAGAGAGTAGCATGTATATATTTGTAGAAGAAGCCCATGAGATTAGGTTTTGTCAAATAGGGAAAATGATCAGATAAATATTGGATTGATTAGGGAAATTAAAAATGACACGTGTCAGTTTGGTGAAACCTGATCCAATTAATGGGGGTTTCATCATCAATTTGTTGTGTCGTTCAGATACTTGGAATGTGTTTCAATCGCTTGTATCATCTTCTTTTCGTGTTTCCATATTCACCATCTGTTAATTTTGGATATGGTTCTTTTTTTTTAGAGAGAGAGAGAGAGAGAGAGAGAGAGGAATATTAGTATTCTAACCTATTTTAATTTCTTAATTATATCAAAGTCATGGTAAAATACACAATACTTGTTGGTAGAAGTAACATTTGCAAAAAAATAAGGAAGAAAAGTAAATTTAAAAAAAAAAGAAAAGGGTAAATTACAAAAAACCCCTGAACTTAGGTTAAATTATGAAAAATACCCCCACATATACGGATTTGTCGAAATACCCCAAACGTTTGTTTACATCTTACAGTACCGACCCTCTTACGGTGTGATTTGTCACGAAATCTTTTTTATTCCAGGAAATATTCCCCGAAAAGTGCTGATTCTAGTCATGTAGACGTGTCATTTCTTTATGCTACTTTTTAACGACAAAAAATACCCTTAGATGCCTTTACACGGAATATTTA